GCCCTGTTGATGTATAAGTGAACATTGATAAGCCTACTATTAACCAGCTGTCGATTATTGGATAAACTATAAAAGGGGCGTAAAGGGTTTGAATTAGCCCATCTCGTTAGCTGGATCAGCTTAGTAAAGCAGCATTTTGAGTCGGTTTGTCGACGATTTTACCGTAGTAATGAAATCTGCACAGACCTTCCTTATCTTTGCGATTTCTGCCTTCTTGTTGGCTCAACTGCAGAAAACATCTGCCAAATCCAGTTTAATTCTAGAATCGCTGGGTAAGTAGAAAATAACTTGGAAAAACATAGAACGCTAGTTAAAAATAATTCGCCGAAAACTTTTATTGCATTCTTTAAATTGTTTTCTTGCTTACATGAAGAGTAAAATATGATTTGGCATGGCGAACGCACTACATTACACAATCCAAGAGAAGCAACGGAAAGTTGAAATATTTCAAGAGGTTTAACATTTATAAATGTTTGTTGCATAACTGCCTTTTGATGTTGACCAGTTGAAATTGTCATAAAATGCGAATACTTTGGTATATGTCTTTATATTCTTATTTGTAGTTTATCTTAGGTTTGGGTTCAGCTTAATATGAAGATTACGTTCTTCCCTGTTGGCACCCTCCTTTCAATTTGTAAATGTTATAATCCTTTTAATACAAATGCAAACAAAGTTGTTACAAAAAATATCAACATAATTCGTATAGTAACAAATTGTAGGAACCAACCTATCTGCAAGCTGTGGTGTTGTGAATAGTCTATGATTGTAAGAGGAAATTCCTAATATATTTGCTACCCTTTACACTAAGATCTTTTAAATTTGATCGAGGTTGCTTCTCATCAAGGGCATTATAATTATTCATTCAATCAGGGATTACTTCGTTAAGTAAATAGCCACAAAATAGGGCCCCGTCCACACTATGCTGGAGGAATTTGAAAACGGAGGTTTATTCCTACGGTTAGGCCTTCCGTCCACACTATAATCCGTCACGAAAATGGAGCTTTTCGAAAACGCTTTTCAGCCCAGAGGAATTTGAAAACGCCAGTTTATCGTTTTCGTGTGAACGGAAAACATTTTGAAAACGGAGCTTCTCGAAAACGATGGCGTCACGATAATCAGGTGATTTCCTTGACCGAGTTTTCCTCAAACATAAATCCAAAATGACCGCTGATTGCTGCGTTTTTTAATTACTCCGGCAAGGTGTGGATGGAAAACATTTGATGCGCTTTCAGAGTGAGAGCTCCGTTTTTAAATTCCTCCGGTGTCGTGTGGACGGGCCTAATATCTGGTAATACCGATACTGACATTGTTTCATGATGGCAGGTGAAATGGATGACACCTCTGATACCACTGATATCTCTGATACCTTTGATACCTCAGATGAGATAAGTCGTCGCTTCTATCGTGGTAAACTATGCATTTTATTGTGCCTTTTGCTACTTTTATGGGCGCGAATTAACACCATTCCTTTCTATTTGGATGGCACAGAGAGAGATCTGCAAGTTACAATTTTTTCCAAAATTTTCAGTTCCCCGAAAACGAGTGGTGTACAATAGGTAATGACCAAATCCCCGATTTCGCTTGAACTTGGAACGAAGGATTACATTGTGAGACATAATATTTGTGACAACACTCTCGTGCAAATTACTTTATTCCTTTAAGATATACACTAGTCATGACCTTTTCACAAGAGTTTATAGGAAATCATAATGACTCACATAGTAATTTGGCCTAAGAGCTTCTTAGGAATGATCATTTAGTCATCTGAGAATTTTATCTTCGTTCTGAGTTGATCAAATAAATTATTTAAGCTGGTTGATTTTACTTCTTTTTTCTAGCTTCCTCGACCTTAATTTTGACCGAAGGCGTACTATACTGTTGCTGGTTTACACTGTCACGTCATCAAAAATAAATTTCGTAATTCGTAACCATTCAATAAATTAATTCAAGAAGTCTGGGATATGATAGATGATTGATATATTACTTCTCGCCAAGATTGAGGTTTGTGTGGTTTTTCATTCGCGCGTTATTCGGAAAGTGTTTGACCCAAATTTATAGAGCTTTGTAGGGAGACGCCATGTTGGTGCCCTTCCGAGGGGCACTAACATGGCAGTTTTGCATCTGTCATTGAGTTTTGCTATTGAAACGAAAAGTTATTACTCTACTCTAGAGTTACGAAACATTGAAAGTATTAATTCTTCTAGTGCAAGAACTGTTCAGTTAGCAAAAACTTGAGCGATGACCCCTCCTCTCCGCCATTTTTATGTCACGCAACGCATAAACTTGGAATTTCAAACGTACTTCATAACAAAGGATCAAGTTCTTAGAGGGTCTTATATCTGATCAGGAGCCATAATCGGGGACGGAGACCGTAAGTCTTGGGATCCGAG